CCTATACTTACCAGGTTTACTCTAGTAAACCTTACATTTTTAATTTCATGCCTTAAGTATTTCCAGGTTTACTGGAGTAGATCTTATCAATATTAATAAAAAAAAGGGGTTAATATTAATTTGATCTTTCCAACTGGTCATTGTTATATATATATTAATTGATATTGTTTTTTTAAGGTGTCTTTAGATAATGCTCAGCTTGTTTTTGGATATTAGATGGTCTGTTTATTCATGTGTAGCATGTGTATTAGCTGTAAATGTTGGCTCAGATGATTAATATTACTAATCTTTATGCCTGATTCATCACACTAGACTGATTGCATTTATTATAAATGGACATTCATTATGAATACACATCAAGGCAAAGATGTTAAAGATATAGGAAATCTGAAAATTATTCCTAAAACATTACTTTACAGAATTGTGACCTCTCTGGAAGCGATCTGCAGGAAGCAAACCTGCGTGGGGCAAACCTGAAGGACGCAGCTTTCGAGCTTATGCTGACGCCTTTGCACATGTCCCAGACAATGACGTGTGATCTGTAACTGTGTGGGTCCGGCAGCTCCAGCTGACTATCAACTGCCAGGTGAGAAAAGCTGTTATTGTTATTTACTGTATATGTTTTTTTGTTTTGTTTTTAAGAATTTGAAAGAGAGTTACATGGAAGTAGAGGGTAAATGTCAGTAATTGTCCAGAAGTAAAAAAAAAATGAGAATAGTGATAAGGTTCCTTTAATTTCCACTGAGAATATATTTTTGGAATTTAAAGATACTGATATGTATATATATTAATGTTCATTGCTCATAAGTCCCTCTTCTTAATATTTCACATCCCTCATTCACCCTCATTTCTCGCCTGCCCTCAGCTGCACTTCATGATAAATTTGATAATCTTGAAAACCTATCTCTAAAAATAATTTACATTTTCAGGCTAATGGAAAGGGAAAACGATTCTAATATTTCTTTTCTTGACATTTGCAGATTGATTATGAGGAAGGGAAGCATACCCCATTGGTGTTGGGTACAAGCACTATCCACTGTTTTTTTTTTAAATTTTACTATTATTATTATTTTTTTTTTACATGCAAATGGCTCCAGAAACATGAACTGTTATATACCCCATTCCCTGTTTTTTTTTTTTTTTTCTTTTTTTTTTTAAGTTTTATATCTATTGATATCCTAAATCCAAAAAAATCAAGGAATGGGGCAACTAGGTAAGGTCAAATAAGCTTAGTAATTGACTCCTTGAAGACGTGCTTCTAGATCCATATATATGTAAAAAAAAAAAAAAATTATAAAACAAAATCATAGTGGACAGTACATGTATACAATGACTGCCAGTGTCAATGGATTTAGAAGTGATATTTGGTCTAATTCCCTTGCCAGTTTGTATTATTTTGCATTTAGCTTTAAGTGAAGCATTATTCAGGCATTGCTGATACTCCAGTATAATTATTTAACCAGCAGTCACTCAGTGCTTCAATGATACTAAAAATATAACTATGAGATTTGTCTGTAAGTGTTTGTGTGTAAATGTGTTAACCCATTGCCGCCGGGGAATATGAAGAAAAAGTGGGGAAAATGCTGTGCTCATTTTTTATATTTTTTGTATAATGTGTCTACACATAGATAGCTCTGCCTTACCTGATTTTACCTTTCCTTGAATTGGTGGGAAAATGTGATTTTTACTAGTGCTATGAATATCAGTGGTGTAAGTTTTACTATAAACATTATAATTACTATAATGTTATAAACATTAGTAATGGCAAAATAAAATAAAATAAAGGGTAGACAGGGGAAACAGGCAGCACTTGTAATTGGCTTATTGGAGACTTAGTACAAGTGTAGCCATCTATGTGTATAAACAATTAAACAAGTAAACTCACAGTGGGCATGGCATGGTCGTACGTGACATGCCTGTCGTGAATGGGTTAAGTGAGAAAATTTATATATATCCCTTTTTAAAAATACATTAGATCACAAATTACAACAAAGTTCTACCAATGAGACATAGTAATACGATTTGATTCTACTTTTTTGACTGAAAAGCCAAAAAAAAAATATATTATTTGATTTTGCTTGTTGTCGCTTGTGACATGTGTGTATGTAGAACTGCACGTCAGAATAGAAGTGAACAATAGATTAAGACAAATGGAATACTGTAATCCTAATAGGCAGTTATCCATTTTATAAGTGTATTCTGGTGCTAAAATCTAAGTTCAGTTTTTTTTTCCAAATGTCAAACTGAGTGAGAGACTGTAATTAATTTAACTCTATCCATATATCCTCTATATATTTTTGTTACAAGTATTGTTTACGTGACTGTATGTATACTACATACTACTACATTGCTACTGCCATTTTATAGTGTGTTATACAGTCATTTGCTTTTATTTATGTTGTATTTGTTCCACATACAGTGATATGAAATAGTGTACACAAAGTGGATGTTCTACCGAGTTGAACAACTCCTATTTGATCTACAATAAAACTAAAAAAAA